GACTTGGTTGGATGAAGTTGACGGTCAGATGACTGCACAGCCACCGGCGATGGAGCTGGTGTCCGAAATGTAATTGCGCAGCAGTCATCACAGTCTGGTACTGTATACGTCAGCCTTGAAGGTGATTGGTCAGACTGGGGTAGGCAGACTATGGTGCACGCTCACTTACTTGCAGCCGCTCGGGTCGAACGTTCGCATGAAGTGGCTCACTACAGGTCCTTACCTGCAGACGCTTGCTATGAGGCTATCATCGCTCAGATTGTATGTACTTGGATACACCTTGAGGCTGGTATCTTAGAGGGCATCATTTAGCCTGCCAGCATAGTAATGAAGCCTCCATTTTGGGGTTGCGATTTCAAGGAAATTGCTATTTCGTTGTCAACCTAGTTTATGATACACTTTTTAAGTGATGATCCAATCGGATTTTCAACATTTTTTAGTTTATTACTTCTTCCTAAATGTACAGCTGCATGAGGGATGGAGCGTACACATTTATAAAGCACTCTGCTTCGTGTCACAAATAGATTGTAAAATAAGCTCTGCGTTACGCTCTCTTTTGTCAAGTTATATAGCAACGAGTCAAACATAATATTGATAGAATACGAAGAGTACACACCAGGACTACAGCGTGAATGTGTTTATTATATTGTGATACAATACATTGGTTAGACGTGTTTGATTATCGCAGAACTAGTTCAGGAGACTGCAAGGAGGTCATAAGCTGCTGGACAATAAAATCTATAGTAGCCGATCAGTTTAATGAGCTTGTTCGAATCCCCAGGGCTGGCCCATGGGTGGATTACTGAGAATTTCGAATAACATCAGGGCCTGCTGGTTTTAACCAGGCTACAGTCCACATTTGGCGAAATGAAGATAATCCCCCCTTGTAACTATCCTTAGCATCATTACGGTCGTCGAGCGTATCTACGAGTAGGGTTATTGCGTTCGTATATGACTCAAGATGATGTCACTCAAGGACCGCGCCTGCTATAATCAACAATCATAACCATCAAAACAACAAACCCTATCAACTAAAACATCCGATTTTTTCTTTTGCTTCTTCTGGAAAAGTCAATTACAAGTTTGGATTTTTTATTTGACATTTTTATGTATCTTTTTTTCAGCGTCAGACAAATATTTGACCGATTGGATGTTGACGGATCGGGAAAAATAACCGAGAATGAAATTGACCAGCTTACAGAGGAAGGCGTTCCTTCTGCTATGGTGGAACATATCAGGGGTTGGCTGAGGGCTAACGATGTCAACAAAGATGGCGAATTTGACTTCAGGGAATTTTTGGGCGCGGTGGCTTCACTGAATATCTAACTGTATTATCATAGTTGCAAGAACAGTATCTGTTTGTCAACATATGCAACTGCTTTGCTGTGTGCAATTTAATAAAATTATTCACGTATACTTTGCACAGTAACATATACGTGCTTCATCAATGCTTCCGGTTTATTTCACAGACAAACAAAGTGCAGTAAACTAGCCTAACATATAACAAGCATAATATAGTGCGATTGTGAGGGTAGTTAGAGGGGGGGGGGTTGGGATGGGGGTCAAAATCTGATCAGCGTTAGGGGACTGGTAGCCGAGAGAGGTGGTAAGCTGTGTGCTCTTGGATTAGCCGTCGCATTACCTGTTGTCGAATTGTGGAGCTGGACTTGTGGGTAGCCTTTGGGTGGTTCAGACTGGATTGGCAGAATACGTACACCAAAAGAGAGCGGTATCTAACGAGAACCACGAGCCGGAGTATTCAGTTTCTGAAGATGAGTAAACGAAATAACCACCCGAAACGTCAGAAATGAAATAACCCTCCCCCGGTGGACGCTCTTCCTTCTTGTTTTGTTTAATATTACTTAGAAGCCTAGAAGTAGTTGGAGAAAAGGCGTGATGGTTTTTAATAGCATAAAGCGCATTATGGACTTCCCGTATGCCAATTAGGCAGTGCCTAAAAAGATCAGGCGCCATTTTTGTAGTATGGTTTCAAGTGGATCGGTTTATCTTTTTAATTTTGAACATATTACTAGCATTTAGGCAATCACCAAACGACGCACACTCGAGGAAAGGCAGGTTCGTAATTGAAAAACATTCAGCCCAAATGTGCCTTCCCCCCTCTGATGTAGAGCATGGTTTTTTTTAAAGTTCCTTTCGAAAATTCAAAACTGAAGGCCTAACAAGAAATAATTTTAATTTCAACGACCTTGATTGCCTTTGTATATTTAAATATATTTTATGGAAAAGTTAAGCGAAAAAAACTATTTCTTGTACTCATTAGCTACCCAATTACGCCTTCTTTAACTTTTCAACTTAAAGAAAGGGTATAGTTCGACTTTAAAAAATTCTAATTACGATCTTTTTTACGACTGTGATGGGTGCATTCATAATACATCATATCCGTCAATGCTGCCTATACTGTATAAAGCATGTTCCACACCTATTGCAAAATTTTATGAGAACTATGTGACTTGACCAATGCATTACCGGCAAACGTTAGAGAGTGCAGAATATGCGTATTTCTAGCTTATTGGCTGTCGTCGGGTGCACATACCCAACTCCAGTATAGCCACAGAAACTGCCGCTACACTCGAGTTTCGAAACCGCGGCCAGTGAGCTAGAGACGAACGTCCTATCCACTGAGCCAACGGGTCGACGTCTTTGCCGGTAGTCCATCAGGATATACATTAGTACATAGGTATACACCGATTGGTGTTCGCCTATGTACTAAACTATGTGACTTTTTCCTCAAACTGTAGGCGAAATATACTTTTCCTTAAACAGGATGTGCATATGCGCAGTTTGTAAACCTTGAAATCGAGTGCAGCAGCACGTAAGTTTCACAATTTTTCGGCTATTTAGAAACTTTTTAAAACAGGAAGAGTTTCTTTATTAAATTACAAAATTTATAGGTGTGTTTTTTTACAAAATGCGTACGAAAAATACTTTTTTCGTGGATGATTTCCATAAAATATATTTGAATTTAAAAAAGCAGTCAACATCAATGATGAAAACTCATACTATTTAAGTAGCTAATTTTCACAGTAGATACGGTTTGTTAGTGGTCAGTGCCAAGCTCGTTAAGAAGCCTGCATCTTATCACGACTGAAGTAACTGCAGAGTAGGCTACACGATAATTCCTGTCACAACCTGAGTCAATGCCGATTACCGAGAGAGTATCAATCTTTCGCATATGTCGGCATGTTGCACCAATTCGCCGGGTACTATACATGAAGCAAGCCAGAGCGAGACGGCCGCCGACGCAACCAACGCACGTGGGGACGATACAAACACCAGCGCCACAGTGACAGACAGAGTCAACGAGGAGGCCAACAACGAAACCTAGAGAAAGAGATATACGCTTTATTTCAAAAATATCATTCCAAATTTTTCAGAAGAAACGTCCTCAATTCACAAGAGATAAAGTTAGGCCCACAAACCCACAACACAGGGAAATCAAATGCAATCCATAGTCATCAATGACTGCAATTGTGGACTTCGTGGATAACTGTCCTTGAAATATTTGTCAAATAGATTTCAAATTTGACTACCTTTAAGCCGTCGCTAGGGTCGTGCACTGATGACCTCATTGTAGTTCAAGTAAAGAAAGGGGGATATAAATCGGTGCATAATGGGCGAAGCAGACCAACCGACGTATACATAAGGACATTTACATGCGAATAGGGGGAGGAAAGATGGCGGCTGAATTTACAAAGCCCGCTGCATACAGTGATAAATGTACATCGGCTCAGCCGGGATTGGCAGAATCGCGCGTAGGGGGGAAATAGAGCGGCATAAAAACGACAATCCTGAGCCAGAGTATTAATTCTCTGAAGATGGGTAGACGAGACAAATACCCAAGACGTCAGATACAAAATAGACTTCCACTGGTGAACGCTTTTACTTTCTCTGCCATAATAAGCTTGTCGCATAGATCGCTATCAGTTAGTAAATCCCCTAAAGTACTATAACGTACTTTCAAAGAAATATTCCTTTTTCTTGATGGGTTAAAACGGCCGAAAACACGAAATAATAGCTTGGACACGCGTACAAGTGCTTCTTGCACTGCAAAAGGCCTTGGGACAGATTCCAGGGGCTACGAATTCCCTTAGCCGTGCCCTCCCACTTGGTTATGGAATAAGTGACATGTTCAATTCGCAATCGCTAAGCGTTAATGTATGTTTTTATACCATATTAAAGTAACACATACTTCGAGGCTTTTCTACGGTATTGATATTTGCCCTAGAGTCCCTGAAGCTCAAACAGACTGAGCCCTTTTTGATTAATATTTATCTCATCACTGAAATGGGCCGTGTTATTATCTGCTCCGAGGAGGAAGGTGATTACGTTGGTATTGCATGTTTTAAATTGGTGGATGAGCGTTTAATGTGACCCTCGCTCATTTTTACTGGTCGTCGGCAGCTCAGCCTGTTTTTCTTTAAATGAAGTCAGCAATATGTAAGTTTAAATTAGCAATGGGTTCGCTTAGTCAAGGGGTTTTACCAACGTATGCATTAATGGCCATCTTTAAAGCCTATTCGTCAAAACATGATCTCCCCCTATCTCACTACAGTTTCAATTAAGGGGTTTTATGATTAAAACGTTTATCAAACATGGCAATTATAGGTCCCAAATTTACCATACTACTTCTGCGGATATGCATCACATTTATGCATACCATTTTCATTTTCTAGGGTGTTGAGCGGTCGCAAGGTATTCGCCTCGTAAATAAATACGCTGACTTCGAAAAAAAAACAGTCGAAATGAAGATTTCTGGGGGACTTGCTAATACCTGAGCTGACCGTATCTAAATCAGGCAAAATCCTACTAGTTGCCTCTTGGCACTAACACTAATGAAGTTCTGCTCTAACATTCTTGTCAGCTTTTTACTGAGCTTGTTGGTAGGACGACACAGAACATGAGTCAACGCCCTGGCCGTCGTGAGGCCAGGATTACAAAGAAATCCCCATACGCGAAAGCGCGCAGGATCAAAGGGCCACGCGCGCGCGATATAGCGCCGCCACTTTGTGTGACCCTGAGGTTAGCGACACCACACGATGGCAGACAGAAGGCGGAACTTGTTGCCAACGGAGAGGACTTGCGGCAGACGACTTGATGCCCACGCTGAGAAGTTGGGTTACACTCGAATAAGCGGATGTACACACAGAGACTGTCGCAGTAAACTGTTCTTTATCATCCTGTCCGTCTTCTATTCCACCCGTCTAACTAGGGGACATCCCAGTTGTCAAGCTCACTTCATGCCTACGTATTTCAAGTAAACGCACCTATTTCTGAGAAGTTTAAAAAGATGAAATTTAAAAATTGTAATATCTGTCACAAATCGCCCAAAGAGCTCTCGGCAGTCCACTATGAACTTGTAGCCAATATATGTGCTGGCAATGTGGTCTATATTTGTGTTATTTTCTTAAGTAAAATTTATTGAAATCGTCTATTTTGTGTAGGCGTCCAAAATTTCCGGTGTCAATCTAAACTTTTGCGGAGGACACTTCAAAAGCATACTTAGCTAGTTAAAGTATGTACCTTACCAATTTAAGATCAGATACTGTCTAAGAGCTCTTCGATTCTCAAAGCCCGTAAAAATTTGAATGGATTTCAAGTGACTTTTAAAGATAGTTACTGTAAAACCCTGAGCTATTCACAAAAGCAAGAACAACGCAAAAATCTCCTTCAGGTATTTTGCTGGTGAAGTCAGTATGAACAGCGCTGTTGACAGTTTAGTGTGATCCACTGGAACAAGCAGATATGAAACTAGTCTTTTTTGGAGACACATTTGTCAGTGCATAAACCTTGATATTTGCTCAGCATACGGAAAGTCCTCTGTTGTCCAATAGAATGACATGGGTTCTCCGAGAAGCACAGGTACAAACTATGTGAAAATGAATATTTTGGTCAAAACACGCATGACATTTGTTAAATGTCTTTCGTGCATTTAATGAGCTCTTCGCGGTCGATGTGGACATCGGCCTGAAGAAACTGTAAACAAGTCGTTAGCTCGAACCAAATTAGTCACTGCTTAACTTGCCACCATATGTCTCGATTCGGTATAATATAGCAGCTCCCTCGTCTGTAGATTAGTAGGTTGAGGCAGTAGGTCGCATAACTGCATCTGCTTAAGTAATGTACAGTTCTTGCAAAAGAAGTCATATTAAAAGATGATGACTTTAAACTGTAAAGTTTACTGACATGTTGCAGACCCGCGATGTAACTGTTCGGAAAAAACTGCTGCATGGGAGCAGACCATACGTTTGGGGGAGACAACTGTTTATTCCTAACCGTTTTTCTGCTGATGACATTTTGATGCAATA